CAAATACGACCCTTGCTGGGGAATCCAACGACAATGTGCCCTGTGGTGGATGAAATCAGAAGCTGAATGTCATCACAGAGGCTGACAGCCGTCGGGCTTCCTCGCAAGGCTGACATATCTGCTGCAACCGCTGCATGAGTTCCGTCAGAAAAAATGAGGACGGTCAAAGGTGTGTTTGGGTACCTCACTTTCTTGTAGAGGCACGAACGCAGTCACGGTGCGTTTTCACAGTCGTGAATGACGTCTTAGGCGATGGACATCGCTGCATCAGGCATAGAATCGGTACTGCGTTCGTGCTTCTACAAGAAAGTGAGGTACCCAAACACACCTTTGACCGTCCTCATTTTTTCTGACGGAACTCATGCAGCGGTTGCAGCAGATATGTCAGCCTTGCGAGGAAGCCCGACGGCTGTCAGCCTCTGTGATGACATTCAGCTTCTGATTTCATCCACCACAGGGCACATTGTCGTTGGATTCCCCAGCAAGGGTCGTATTTGACCGTCGAAGAGGAGGGGGAGGGGTCGTAATGAGAGGGGCAGTCAGTACCGAACAGCGCAAAGGTGTCAGTGTGCTGAGTCCTGTATAGCGAAACTTGCTTTGTAGAGAACTCGGATATGTAAAAAAATAGTACAAAAATTCAATTAGTCAAACTAATCAAAATTCACTGGAAATATTAAAAAGTTGACATAATCTCGTAAGTACGTAGATGACTAAACTGTACAACTTATACTCTATACCAATTCACGTTTAACGCAATTGGTGGAGCACAGATTCTCTACCAATTGCGTCAAACGCTGATGATGGGGTGTATACGCCCCATCATCAGCAGCGAACAAGACGGAAAACAAGTAAGCGCGTAGGTCGATCATTAAACAGATTTTGATTAAACAGATCTGCTCGCGTAGACAGGCATTACCCAGAAGTTGCCCACTCCTCTACCTCTACGTCGGAGCCTGATGTGCGGCGCATCCAGAAATGAAGCAAATGGGTACCAAACAAACCATTGCTTACTCCTATTTCACGAAGGAATCCATTCTAGATGCGTTCTTGGATATACAAATACCCTCGGGTTCTCCAAAAAATCCAAAAACGCCAATAATCCAAAATTCATCTCATGGATCGCGGAAACTGCAGAAACAATTCAAGTGGTTTTTGGAAAGAGGAAATTTTCACTGAGTTGCAAGAAAATTATCTTCCTTCGAAGCAAAACATTTCGCAAGTTTTAAAAATTCCCAATGAGTCCCCAATGCTGAATATTCCTCAGAACAGGCAACCTTTATAAACGCTTCAGTACATTTCGAGAGGCTCAAACTTCTACTTACTTTGCTTGAAGGTGTTGGGCAAACTTGTCTCAACTCCAGTTAAAGACGCTCCGCCGTAGGTATGATGTTGGAACACGGAAGAGAAGCTGTCAAGTTCGTCTGTAAAGGAAATGTGCCAAAGGGAATCTCGAAAACGAATTTAATAAAACCCCTACAGCCTCAAACAATTGTACGAGTAAGAGGTCAAAATACCGCCCCTTGAGACGAGCCCGTTGGGTCGATCTCTTGCAATGAAATCTATATGACTCCACAAAGTGAATGGAGCATCTAACTCATGGTATTTGTCCGCAGCACCGCTTTCAGCTGAAAGGCGGACATTGAAGGCGGAGTCTGGAGGCGGAGTCACTGGAAAAAGGGAGGTACCACTGAAGCAACTTTGCGCCTTATTTCGTTACCTTACAACTTTCCGCCGCGAAACTGGCACAAGGATGACCATTGAGGACCACTCTATCCTGCCCATCCAATTTTTAACGTCTTTAAAGGTCATCGCGGACCGTTCCTTCAGAGGGTTCAGACCCGCGAATGTAAAATGATGAAGCACAATTCCCATGCACTGTAGTCCACTGTCGGGATGTTACCTGAAAATTCCACCAGTCACGCATGCAACTGCGTACTGGGCGGCCTGCCGTAACCACACGCTTATTGGGAAGATCCACTCATATTGGTTACACTTTGAATTGAATGACTGGCACAAATATTTGGAATGAATGATTGAATGTTGGTGTCAGCTTCATATTAAGCAAACAGATTTACGTCGCATTGTAGATGATAAGGATGTGTGACATTAAATGTCATTTCAAGTAACTGTATTCTGTTACGAAAGCAAACAAGGAATGATTCGTGTTGAATGTGCGTATGAAAAGTTCCCCATTCTGCGAAAAGAAGTGTTAACAGTCATCCTTCCCCCCCCCCTCGCTCGAAAATGCTGGATTATCCTGCACAAGAAAAGCTTGTGGAATCCACCAGGTTTTCTTGTGCAGGATCAACATCGTGGGGCCCTCTTCGGCCACACTCTCGTCCTTTATTGGGCTTCTGGACCGAACCTTGCACATTTCGTTCGGAGAACACCATAGTGCAACTAATGGTCTGCCCTTGAATAAATTTGAGCAGCGCACTCTCCTCTTCTGACGCCCTACTCCTGAACCCTGCGCTGTTTTTGGCCACTCGGGTCCCTTTCCGATTTCCCGAGATTTTCTTCTTTGGATAGGCTAGCCAAATTTTACGTATACGTAGCTAAAGCCTTCCACCTTCCAGAAGGTTTAGAAGTCCGGACGTCCCCCTTTGCTTTTCTGCCATTTCTATATGTTTCCATCTATTTCGACACTGTAAGGTTTATTCATAATTTTACTCTGTGCATTACACTGCTTTTGGCAGTGGGGAGTTAATCTTTTCAGTTCTCAGTGCTTTTGTGCGACTGATTGGGTAAATGTACCGAGGTACTCAGATACTCAGTCGGTAAAATTTGCATAACGCACAACATATTCAGCTAGATCCTTGTGAAGGGAGCATTTGACTCCACACACTCCACAGTCACTTGGAACGGGAGGGGGAGGGAGGGGTCGACCCCATTATAGGGAGTCAACATACAACCCCCAATTCCTTAACCAGAGACGGATCTCTGACGCGTTCATACTGGCCTCGCACAAACAGACCCTATCCCCTCCCGAACTGGGTCGAAACACCACGCCCGTCGGAAGGTCAAACATGACCCTTCCGAAGGCGAATACAAACCCCGCTCCAACCGCACGGTTCCATAAATTCTTCATTGCATCGCTACCACGATCGCCTGGAGTCCGCCTATAAGCGCCAGCGTTGAGACACGTTCGTGGCAGCAGCAGTGCCTACAGCGGTGATATCCATTGTATTCGTACCAAGATATGTGATATTCATCCGGTCATACTACCCCAGGAGAAGAATGCGATGCAGTGTTTTGAGTTATATTGACACCGGTGCCTGCGGCGCGGGCACTAGGTGGTTTCACGCTGAGTGCATATAATGTTTATGTCAAAGGACTTCCCGCGACTGCACATCGTAGGTAACAGAGTTCAAAAACAGGAGTGCATTGAGCTAGTTGTCTAAGTAGTGAAGAAAAAAGTATGAAAAGCCGCCCTTTCCTTGCATTTGATCATGATCATTGGACGAGAGTAAGATGGTCAAGATCAACAGTGATATGCAGAAGGTGACGATACACTGCAAAGCGCGGAGAGAGACCAGAAAATGACGGGCGAGAGAGCACAACGAGGGCGTCCTTGGGCTTTAAATCGAAGTTTCCGGTGCTTTGCGTGCCATTTTCCAGTTTTGAATGCAGTGCAGCCTCTACAATCGCCTACCGGATCATCTGACACATTTATGAGGTTATAGCCTCAGTTTATCGCAGAGCGGGCCTTTAAGGGGGCCTAGTTTCGACGACCAGTTTCAGACAAGCCGAAGTTTCGACCCAGATTACAAAACCGAGAAGTAAGCGCAAGTAGTGCCGCATTGTACTGTTAGGTAAATTCCAATTAAAGGTAAGTATCGGAGAAAAGCCCATACGTGGAGTCGCTTCCGTCGCAAGAGCTGAGGAATGTCGTGGGAGTGGGTTTGGCGCCGCATCAGCACGTTTTCTACCAGTTGTTGCCACTTTCACTTCTTTGACAATTGGATTGGAGGAGGACGAGCTGGTGCCACGCCAAACCCAGCCCCCATGACCAGTGCTAGCATCACCAACGAACACGACTAGACGTGCGCTCAACAGGAGCTATATGAACAACCTTGCCCCCCCCCAAGGCTCCTTTCCTTGCACATTCGACGAGTTGGTACAATGGTCCATTGCGATCCACACTACCTTCGTCCGTTGAAGTTTCTGATTTTTATAGGTCTTCGCGAAATGTGTCTCTGAACAAAGTACAAGTAATAAACTGTTCAGATCTGCGCCTGTCCAGCAGACAAGCCAGTTCTGCAAGGGGATGAGTGCGTACCGCAACAGTTCACAAGAACAGCCACACCTGGAGAATCATGTGATCGAAACACAGTATGCACCAAGGAGAGCAGGTTGCTCTAAATCTATTCTAGGGTCTTTTGAATCACATTCCACAATCTGTATCTTACGAGCTTTGGCGTTCACCTATCACCAGAACAGAATCGACGTTGCTTTTCAGTTGTCAATCCGGTCAATGTCGCTGTCAATACGGATTCATCGCAGTCTCTGGGAACTGTGTGGCACTCCCAATGCCGACAACACTCGCAGTGAAGAATGTTGTGCTGGCGAGACCGCTGGACAGCTGTGACAACGGCGAACAGTGTGAGGGTGGCTCGAGGTACATTACCAGATAACTCATCCTATAGCCGAAACGAAATAAGCGCTTATCTGATACGTGTGATGACCCCGCCACAAATGTCACTGCCATGGTGCAGATAGTGAAAATCCCACACAGTGTACATCATCGTTCAGCTAAACCGTCAGCAATGGTACTTATTACTCCATCTGTGATGTGTCGCAGTAGGACTCGGGCCTCGAGAAACACTTCTCGACACCAGTAACCTTTTACCGTACCACTCCTCTGAAGTTCTTTTAATCAAATTTTTGGCAACACTTTACTGCCCCAATTATCCGAAATCAGGCCAGTTTTTTTTTACCGACTCTTTCTGCGGGGCAGACTCAGTCGTTACCTGGGGTAGTTTCACCTCCTGAACACGAATATCACATCCACTTGCCACGAAACCTCCTGGCGCCCGCGCCACAGGCGCTGGCGCCAAAATACCCCAGTTCATCAAATCAGCTGAAAACCGGTTGCAGGGGTACTTTGGCCTCCTGAGTACGAATTTCACATTCGTTCGGTCTCAAACCGCCTGACGCATTCGTCACGAGCAATAATCACATGATTGTTTCCAGTGCGGAGCGTGTACGAGGGGTGTTCAATGTGTTCTCGGTATAGGTATGAAGGAAAAGGCAGAAAATTCTGAATAAAATTTATTTTTCATGTAGTCCCCATGGCCTCAATGCACTTGTTTGCTTGGGAAACAAGCTTTCCAATACCCTCTGAGATTATTTTCCTCCTTGTCCCCCATAAAAGAAGGAACTTTGGAGGATGTAGCTGATCTCTCCTTGGAGAAAAAGTGTGGGGGAAATCTTGTGAATGCTTCTCACCTTTATCCCTATTTGCTTAGTCTTCGGAAGTAAGAGGGAGATGTCCTTCGGAAAATGGTCTCAGCTAATTTTCTATTAGGTTGGTGCATAAGTTCTTAGCCCCGTGTTTGATCCTTCCGTATTTCGTTTGCATGGATGTTGGTATATCGTCATCACGTGTGCGTGACGTGGGCACTATACTCTTTTATCACACTAGCTATCACTCACCCACCTTGCATTTGCAGGCCACAATGTCGCACAATTTCCACTGTGACAAAATGTACCTGCGCCACTGCCTGGGTTTTACTTCACGATTCACAAAAGAAGTTCCACTTTCT